TCCAAGAAAAAACTTTTTTTGGTAATTATCAAATATTTATCATATTAAATATCCATTTAAAAAATCTATTTAAAAAAAATAAAAAATTTGGTTGCGCGTAATAATTAGTTTCTCAAAATCAATTATTTTGGATTCTTTGCTTGATACAGAATAGATCTGCAAAAATATTAATTAATTGTATTTGAACTTAATTTGTGTTTGGTCTTCGCGTTTGTAACTTTTCTTATATCTCTCTTTCCCCTCCCTCCCCCCCCTCTCATATTAATGTTTAAATTTAATCAATTATTATTCTGGAATTATTGTAAAACACCTTAATAATCAAATATTAAGAATCGAATCGGATTTCCGATTTAGCCCTTATGTAATATTTAATTACGATATTTTCCTAGCCTACGATTTTTTAAGAAAGTTTAAGGAGTTGTTACAGTCTTTCAAATTGAGATTTTATAATTATTGATACCGATTAACAAAGGAAAAATGTGCCAGGTGGATATAGTTTACTAAGAAATTGTAATAAATTTTCTTGAAAAATATTAACGTTGTATAAATACATATCTAAATGTCCTGAGAAAAGTATTATTTTCGCATTTCCGGCCTTTTAATTAAAATTCCGAATGAAATTCTACAAGATAGAAAAAACACTCTTAATATTTTATACGCTAAATAAACAATATTGCACAAGATATCGCGATTTTTTGACATTTTATGACATTTTGCGAAAATCTGACAACTGATAGTATCACCGGCGATCATATAAATGTGAAAAAATTAATTAACGCTATCAACAATTAAAACTACAAACAATAGAGCACGGTTAAAAATATAGGAAAAGATTTTTAATTATGCTTATATAAATTTGTCTATAATTTATTGCAAATATCTTCTAGATGTTATATTAAAAAATTCCCAGACAGCACAAGGATGTCCTTAGGACGTCCAAAGGGCATCCAGAAAAAAATTATTTTAAAAATTTATTTAAGAAAATTTATTTCATTTTACATGCGCATATACATAAAAATACTTCAATTATAATTTATTATCGCTGTAGTAGAATGATAAAACATCACGCGCAACTAATGAAACATTAATAAATCCATAACATTTCTCCGCATTTTTGATCCACAATGTGTTTAGCACGGATATGCACCAATCGATCGTTTTATCATGGCATCAAAAAGTGGTTTGGCCATGTAGTTCCGCCGGCTCTAAAATGGATTCAGTTAGCGCCACTATAGCAGTTAGGAAAACGGTCTCACGAAAAACGGCGGCGTGGCCCCTCTCAAGCTTTTCTCTAGTTACACACGTGATTATGGCTGCATTCGGTAAGACACTAGAAATGCTTCGAAGCGTTTGATTGACCAATCAGGACAAAAAGAGTAAAGATTTATTTATTCTGATTGGTTAATGCAATGCTTCGAAGCATTTCTAGCGTCTTCCCGACCGCAGCCTATAATCAATGTAGTTTCGATGCATTTTTCGTTTGACAGCCAATAATCGTAACCGATCATCTGTTCTCGCATGACATTTGTAATCCATGAAAACTATTCGTTAGGTTAAAAAGGCGGTTCGGTAAATTCCGACGAACCCACTCTCTCGCTGTGTTTACGTATATATATCCCGTTTCCCGTTATCGCTATGTATATGTATGTATGTATGTAGTAAGTACGTCGAAGATCGCCGAGTTCGATATGTATATATGTGTGCTTGTGTGTGTGTTTGTCGCATTTATCACTGATCGCCGGTAGTTAGTCGCGCTTTATTGCGGTTAAATATCAACTTTCTAACATAAAACGGAATCCAATACCGATTATGGCACAAGTACGCTACACTCGTAATTTATTCCTGCGTGGAATCTGCATTATATATCTGTTCGCATTCCTCAGCTTTTACATACAGATTCCGGGTAGGTATTTATATTGTCTTTAAGGTATCCTCCAATATCTTGACTTTGTGTTATGTGTTTATTTTTTCTCTCATGTTTTCTTGATCGCATGGAATTTTTTTCTTTCTTGTTATTCGCGAAATATGTTAATTCAAAGAATGTATATTTGCTATTTGCCACGTAAAAAAGAAAAAAACAAGAAAACTGCTTATAAATGTTGATTTCAACGACGCTTATGTGTGGCATTTTGGAATATTGTAAATAAAAGATTTTGCTTATTATCTAATAGTTAAAGATTACGTTTTTTTTTTTTTCGCCGGACGATGTATTTTATATTTAGATTATGAATCAAATTCTAGATCATGTATAAATTCTATTGCAGAGTATATATGTAAATTTACTTTTAGAAAAGTTGAGATGTAATATTATAGCGTTATTAATTAATAATATAAAATAGGATTGTATGGCGATAATGGAATCTTACCAGCCAGAACGCAGCTGGATCTGAAAACACGTGCAACACTATTTAATAAACTGAAGCAGAAACCGACATTCTTATGGTTTGCACCGTATCTAGGTTTAAACGTAGAGTACATGCTGGATGTATTATCTCTTTTTGGAATTATTCTCTCCTTTGCAGGGTATGTTATTACATTAAAAAACTGCAAGATTAACACTAAAAAAATAATTTTCTCTGCATAGAAAACATAATATAAAATATAATATAATCAACAAATTCAATTATATTAAAGTTATATATACATCTTGTTAATGCTTAAAATTATATTGCAGATTTGTCTCGCAAAAATTTTGTATTGCGCCAATATTTGCAGGACTATGGACCTTATATTATTCTTTGTATCAGATTGGTCAAACATTTATGTGGTTTCAATGGTGAGTTTTGTAATATTTTAACTATATAATGTATTTTTCACTATCATCTAGAGAATTATCAGATTCCTAATATTGCAAACTCTAATATTTTTTCTAAAATGTGTTCTATTGGATTATTCTGTTGGTTCACTTACAATACTTTATATATACATTGTTATGTAAGTTTAGGTACTTAACTTACGTTGTATAGAATAATATGTAACATTTATCTTTCAATGACAAGGATTATATTTCTATTAATTCAATGAATACTATCAACTGTTATAATTTTCTACATAATGAAATTAAACTTTATACATTCGAAATCTATATGTAAAATATAATTAAAAAATATATATAAGCGAAATATGTATAATGCAAAATATGTATTAATATATTTTATAACATTTACATATAATTTATTTATTTAACTATTAATGATTCAATTATTTAATAATTTAATGGAATATATGTGTTTTTTTAATTTATGCAGGGATATTTTATTATTGGAGGTCGGATTTCTATGTATACTTGTAGCACCATTTTGGTATTCTCATCGTGGAAAACCAAGCACTCCGAGCGATGCTGTGACATTCTGGACTGTGCGTTGGTTACTTTTCCGTTTGATGTTTGCTAGTGGAGTAGTAAAACTTACCTCAGAATGTCCATTATGGTGGAAATTAGATGGTAAAATAATTTTTGTAAAATCCAATATATAAAAATAATATTATACATTTTATTTATGAAATATTTCACTGTATTTTATAGCTCTAAATGTCCACTTTGAATCTCAATGTATACCTACTCCTCTGGCATGGTATGTACATCACTTGCCAACATGGTTTCTTCGATTAAGCACTGTTCTTACAAACATTATTGAGCTTGCCATACCGCTCTTATTTTTTGTCCTGAATAGAAAAGTGAGAATAATAGCATTTTATTTACAGGTATGTTAGCTATGATACATCTATAATAAGCTAGAATATCTATAACTTATAGATTAATTATCATTAATTATCATTATGATATTCCTTTAATATTCCAGGTATTGTTGCAAGTCTGTATAATTGCCACTGGAAACTACAATTTCTTCAACTTCCTAACGATTTGTTTATGCATATCCTTACTGGACGATCAATTTTTTTACAAACGAAAATCTAAGAATGATAAGTCAAGTATTATAAATTATCTCTCGACATTAATAAGCGTATTGGTTTATGGAGGAGTTATATATGGAACATATATTTATTATAATCTTAGGATAACAGACAATTGGACCATTCAATCTGATATTGGTATTTTATTTTATTGACAACAATCAATAACAATTTAATCTAATGTATATTTATATTGATCATGATTGTTTTTTTTTGTAGCATTTACAAAAGAACAATTTGATTATGTTCTTTCTCGCGTAGTATCGTTTTCTATATGCGTCGGTATAGCATCTCTCGGATTAACGGCAGTGGACTCTGTAGCTAATTCTGCTATGACTACAAAAGGGACGCGTAATAAAATTACAACAACAATAGTTACAATTTTCTACACCATAGCAGTGTGTTTGATTTTTGCTATAAGCCTTGTAAGTACAACAGACAATTCTGATTTATTTATTATTTTTAATTATTAATCCTTTAACAAAACACATAATGTGTCATGCATATATATAAAGTGTAAGGCATAAAATGCTCACAGGTACCATATTCCACTTTGCATACTTCTACAATTTTATCGAAAAATTCGACGATATCTGTTCAATTGAAACAGATGCATGCAAAGGTGGATCATCTTCATTTAGTGAACAGCTATGGGTTATTTCGTCGTATGACAGGAGTCGAAGGTAGACCAGAAGTTATAATAGAAGGGAGTGACAGTATTGATGGACCTTGGAAGGAATATGAATTTTTATATAAGCCAGGAAACGTTAACAACTCGTTGCCATTTGTTGGTAAGATGTTTATTTATTCAATGTTTGATATAAAATGTGTTATTTCGGAGCTACTTATCAATAAGCTAACTTTTTTCTTATAGCACCTCATCAACCTCGTCTCGATTGGCAAATGTGGTTTGCTGCATTAGGTACATATAAACAGAATCCATGGTTAATGTCGCTAACTTATCGTTTATTGACTGGGCAGCCTGAGGTACTGGCTTTAATAAATACCGTCGAAAGTCCATTCCGAGATAGACCGCCGAAATATATCAGAGCTAGTCTCTATTATTATCATTATACACCATGGAGCCAAACGTAAGTACATATAATATTTTGCAAGATAAATATGTATATAATTTAATTTACACGAATCAGAGTAATATATATTTTATCAATAATGTTCCTGCATATAGAACAAATACTAATGCTTGGTGGATCAGAGAGAAAGAGGGGGAATATTTTCCGATATTTAGCCGGGATCATCCACCATTTATCGACTATGTGAAAAAAATGAAGGTTATTCAAGACAAGCCTGATTTTAAAATCGTAAATGAACCATTTAAATTTATTCTGGACAATTTGAGATCTTTAGTCGGTAAGATAGAAGCGAGTTTATTTTTATGGGGTGTCTTTACAAGTGGATGTACAGTTATTGTAACAAGTTATAGTAGTTCGGTGTCAAAAAAGAAATAAATATTGAAAGATAATCCTTATAAAACTTGAGACATTACAAAAATTAAGAGATACCGGTATTAAAATGAAGCATGCAAATTGTAAAATATATATATATATATATATGTACTAACTAAATGAAGATTATGTACTTGCATATAGCATAGCTTACACACACAGGTACTTTTTGCATGTAAAATATACATTTACATTTCTTCTTTCTATATATTAGATCTCTGTCAGACAATATTAATCATTATCGTGTATAATAATGTATCATGTACGATGACGCGTATGATGCGCATTTTCAATAAATCTTCGCTCTAAAATATCTTAATATATAAATATATTAATAGAGGAAAAAAAACGCATATTGTTTCATATAAATTAACATTTTTGACATCTAACGGACGATATGTTCAAAGTGTATTTTATCGTGTCTCTTGTTTATACTTGTCTAAAATAATCTATTTTATTATTTCGTGTGCTTAAGTTGGTGATTATAAACAATATGTAATACTCGAAGTTGTATAAGTGTTATTATATATAGCATCGCTTATTATTAATTTTGCTAGTTTTAAAAACGGTAATATAATAGCATTTATAATAAAATAAAAAAGGAATTGTTTATTATCATAAAAATAAAAAAGAACATACTTTGATATATGTATGTAGAATATATTTTTTTACCTAGGTTATTGCTATCGCATTTTTCTAATATTGTTTTATGAAAAAGGAAGTTGTATCTTTTTCTTGATATTAATTACACAGGTGGTAAATAAATTACATAAAACTAAATTTAGTTAGTGCCACTCTCTTATGGCCATTAAATTTTATAGCTGTCATTTTCCTAAAATTTATAGCTGTCATTTTCCCAAAATTTATAGTTTTAATTTTATATTCTATAATCGTAGTAAAAGTGCACATATATATTTGTAATGTGTATATGTATATATATATATATATATATATACATATATTTTTTTTTCTTTTGTAATAAATAAGTTTATCTTACATCAGTTTACTTTAATACGGAAAAGGAGAATATAACATATTTGTGAAAAAATGTGCTTCCTTTAACTTACTTCCTTTATCTTTGATTAATTTAATGATATCAAGAATCAAATATTATTTTGCGATAATTTTATATTTTTTACAAACTACCTTGCAATTACGTACTATGGGAAGATCCGCAGTTTCAATATTGGAGTCAAACTTAGAACTGCTATTGGAAAGAGAGTTATAGTTATTTATTTCTTTATTCAATTCTCCAGAATTCACATCTTTAAATTTTCTCTTTTTCGAAACGGTTTTCTGATTCTCATCCTTTTTTGTCAAAAATATAGGTGCTGGTCCAGATAGTTCCAATATGGAGTTTGATAAACCTATGGGAAGTTTAAATAATTGCAGCAAACGAATTTGCAGCAATTGATATTCGGCGCTTTCCGTTTGTATAGGACAGTTTGTTGTTGTTTGTTCCGTTTCTTGTTGTTCACTTTTGAATAATAATTCGCAATGTTCAGATTTATTTTGACATTCATACAACAATTTCCAAAGAAGCAAATTCTTGAAACCTAATAAAGTTGCTCGATTCGGCATAATTATATTCGACATAGTGAATAGCTTTTCTTCATATTCATCGTTAGTATATTCAGTGCTTATAGGTATTTGCAATTTATTCGAGCATTTTCTTTGCTTGTAGTTTGTTAACTTCAAATCCACATCCGTACTATTATGATATTCTGGTGAAGTGCTCGCTTTATCAAAAGAGAGATTACATTCTAATAATTTGTATAAATTTATATGTCGCTCATCACATTCGTAATAATCACTTAGTAACAATTGACTAAATTTGTAAAATTGAATTTCTTCCTCATGATTAATGAAATCTATATAGAAAGTTGTAGAGAATTCTGTAGGCACATCGATAAGAAATTTTTCATTGACATTTAGCTCGCAATCTATCGATTGATCTTTTCTCTTTATCTTCTTTGTTCTTATGTATCCATCAAATGGTAATGGCGGTATGAAAGAACTTTCGCTAACTTTTTCGATACGACCAAACATTTGCATTCTGAACTTTTCTATTCGCTCATGATTTTGTATTCCATTATTTCTTACATTTATGTATTCTTTTAGAGAAGCCAAAAGTAGTTTCTCCTTTTTATTTAGATGCACAAAATTTACAGAACTACTTGAAAAATCAAAATTGACGTTTAATAAGTTCAATGTATCATACAATCTTCTAGTATCGTACGCGAGCTGTTCTGAATCGTAAGATTTTTGAGAATTGATAATTTCTAAAGGAGGTAAACTAAGAATTTCATACAATCTTAGCTGAATATCATCAATCGATGCGGTTTTATTACATTGTTCCAATGTATTCTTAGATAATTGCTTATACATTGAAACCTGTTTACCATTCTTAGATTGTCTAGGAATATCTTGAACAGAGATATTTTTCTTTATGTATTTTTGTATCGCGGTAAATCGTTGTCTCAATTCTGTTCTTGATTTGTTGGAAAAATTCATGGCTATCTTGGACCAATCGTTATTATAGTTTTTATGTAGTTGAAGCAGTCTCTCGTCATCGTCGATTGTCCATGTTTTGTCGTTGTTCATGTTTTTCATTACTGTATGATAGCGTTCATTGAGTTGTGTAGAAGTTCGATATGGCATCACAACATTTGAGATCTTACAGAAGTCCATGCCATATTTTTCTACCGCATCCATGAGAGTTTTTGTTTCCAAATAAGTGAACCTGCCTTTCCTTAAATGCGGCGCTGTCCTGTACATCCACCGTGTGTAAACCTGCTGCTTGGTTCTATGCCGCATATGATTAGCAACTTCGGACCAAGGAATGTAATCTCCGATCTGGAGTTGGTTTATGATATTCGCGAGACATTCATCTTCCTCCTTAGTCCAAGCATGTCCCAAGGATGGCATCTTCTTAATGGTATTATACCTGATGAAACATTGATAAGCACTACGATTTGTTTCTAACAACTGTGTAATGGTGTCCCAATCTTGATATTTACATTCTTTGGCATATTGCAACAGTTTCTTATCCTCTGCATTTGTCCACTCGCTCTTGTTGAAGTCGGGATGCAAATAGACATTCCACATGGCTTGGCATTCACCCGGTGAATGCTTATCGTCAAAATCTATTCTGGAAATCTTATGCCAATCAAACTCTCTCTTGCCGACCGCTCCCACCATTTCTTTAAAATTTCTAGGCAGCAGTAATGCCATATTTTTAGCTTGATTGTTCAATGTCTCTTCATCAGACTGTTTATCATCATTAAATCCTTTAGACAGTACCGATTCAATAGCCTCATTTTCTATGGCCTTTAAAAGTATTTCCCTGTCTCTTCCCGTCCAACGACTCGGTTTTCTAAGAGACGACAGAAATAACTCACCGCGTTGTTCCTTCAGCTTCATGTCACAGTTCTTGGGTGCTCTAAAATGATTCTTATCCTTAAAATATGGCATGCCAGCATTGGTGATTGCAATTCTACTAGGAATACGTAAACTCGACCTTTCACTGGAACTCATTTTTTCTTCCACTTCCTTTATCTTCCTCTCACACTCTTGTAACAAAACAATCAATTTTTTCTTGGCTATCATCAGGCCTGTGATCAATTTTTCATTCATCTCGTAAACGTTCAGAGACTCATTGTCCTGATTTTCATAGATATAGTTAAAACATTCATCGTCGCTCCCATCAAAATCTATCGAGGGAGTGCTATCAGATCGCGAATTACTAGAAATTAACTGTTGTTGTGGGTCGCTGGTTGTAGGCAAAGACAAAGCTTCGGTCAGAGCTTGAATATCAGCTTGAATGTCAGAATCGTCGGATTCGCTCATGATGAACAGAGATTTCTTCGCACGTTCTTTTTAATATGTCTGGTATCTCTGCATCTGACAAAATAGAACAAAGTAGAGTAAAGCGTTTAATCGCGTTCAATGAACAAAAGACAAACTTACGTACCGATAGCAATCGGACGTGCGATTTATCCTCGAGTCAAAACAGCATTGGAATCCAAAGAAAGTTCTCTCATATAATACAATGTCACCTAATTAAAATCACGCAATACCGGACAATGTGTCAATATCATTGTCAAACGAAATTGCACGATCGATTTTGTTCATTTCATTCTCGTGTTTAGCATACATACAATCAAAAATAGCGTGAAATCAGGAATCGTACGTCTCTTCTTCTTCTTCTGATTATTTAAATGATTATCCATCCCTTTGTGTAATATTCATCCGTTCTTTCTTTTTCGAGTTTTGACATAAAAAGAATAAAGACACGTGTTGTTGAAACTGTCGGACGGAGGAATAAATCGAAAGATATATCCCGCGCATATGCAGGCTGCGTTCCAATATTCACTGCCAGTACTGAAAATCTATAGTGTACGTGACGTAAACTATAGATTTTCAGTACTGGCAGTGAATATCATCGAAATGCAGTAGTTTCCTTATATAACAGATGCCGTTATTTTTCAGTCGCGTACATACTATACTTTATCGCAATGGGTATCATTAGACGAGAAAAGAACAGATAATATTAATAGATGATAATTGTCAAGTCTATTAATTTCTGTCGCATCACTGAAATTAAATTATTATACCAATAATATCATATATTTGTAAGAAATTTATTTGTTCCAGTCTCTTCGTAAAGTTAAATTCTTTTCCTATATGTTTAATATTAGTTATAATTGTATATGTCTGGTTTTCTTAATACAGTATTTAATATATTATTAGTGCGTTTTATAACTCAAAAAAAAAAAAAAAAAAAAAAAAAAAAAAAAAAAATTTTTTAAAAAAAAAAAAGAAGAAAATTTATTAGCAACTGTCAAAAGCAATCACATATGCCATGCAAATTGACTATCGAATAAAAAATGTCTGAAGTCCCGAAAATGTTCCTCTATCCTACAGGACGAGGATAACATAATAAAAAGATTTTAATTTTTATATTATTTTTCAATTGATTGTTACACATGATACACATGAATATTTAGACGTGATACCGAAGATCCTGAAGATAAATCGACTCGGTCGTAACGCCAAGCGCACATGTGACGGCAGCAGGTACCGACCATACCGACCCCGATGCGGGGGTGACTTACAAACACGAATCAGTTGGGGTGCGTTCGAAAATTCTACTCGTGGCATCAAGCAGTATCGAATTGACCAATCGGAACAAAGAAATCTTTGCTCCTTTTATCCTGATTGGTCAACTCGATACTACTCCAGCCCACGCGTAAGATTTCTTAACGCACCCCTACGTCGTCTAGACTATAGTAATCAAGTAGCGCGGAGAGGTTGGGTTCTCCCAGTCTGCGATCGTGTGCGGTGTTTGTATAATAGGTTACGCTGCGCGAGATGACGTTTGTCGCTTGTAAATATCGCTCATGCCGGAATGTACAGTGAACGGTTGAGCCGCCCGCTGTCGTAGCCGTCTCCCACCGCGTCGAGATCAGGAGACGAGCGAACTCTACGACGTCTCCGTCGAGGCCACTCGGCGCGCCGACCGACCCGACCGCCGACCCCGTGAGCGAGTGCGACGGTGAGGTTATGACGTGCGAATTGAGCTGAGGTCGATCGTGCGTGTTGTGCCCGTCGTGCGCATCCGATGTTTATTGTCGCACCCTCTCCTCCTCGGCACAGCAAAGGTAAACCGCGCGGCCCGCGGCTCCGGTCGCGGCGACGGCGCCGCGTGCGTTTCCGACGCACCGCATCGCGCCGCGACGCCGTCGCCGCCACCGCCACCACCACCGCACGCTCCCGCGAATTGACAAGACCCTAACCTCCTTTAACCCCGTTCGCTCTCGCGCTCGATTGCGCTCTCGCAGTTTGTTTTCGCTTGCCACGGCACGCTACACGCTACCGGGAAGACCCTCCCCCCCCCTCCCTTCCCCCGTTAGTTTTCCCTCCGTCGTCTCCTCTTATCCTCCGCGATAGAGAGTTCTCCGATCGGTCTTGTCTGTTTATCACTTCTCCCCAATGTTATGCATATTCCCCCCGCGTCAGTCGTGGAGATGACATAGGGTATCATTAGTCTCATCAAACACGGCGGGATTTCTCGAGTTTTGCGAAAAACCGCATGAAAATGGATTCTATGACTGTCACAATGACATTTTAAATGTGTGTTGATAGTAGAATTGTGTGAGTTGTCTATCGGTAGTTGTTATTAATTGCCTTGTCTCTTGGAGATGTAATAAATCAGTTTCAAACTTTTCTCTCTCCTATGGTTTCTTCATGTTTTTATGATGTTTGTAGAAAAATTTGTTGATGAAACATCCAGCATGTGTGTGTTGTTTAAGAGCCATTACATAGAATGCACTGTGATGGTAAGTTGATTTAACTTGTAAAAACATGTGGATTTTTTTTATGATTCTCTGATGGTAGAGAGATCTACATTCAGTTTTTTTTTTTTTCAGTTTTTGTCATCATTTTTATCATTTTTATCATTTATATTCTAAATTGCAATGTATGAAGAATTTGTTGATTTAATTTGGTTTAGTAATATTGCAAGAAACATGTTCATTATATGGCATGCTATGTGTATGTACATAAAAATTTGAGATACATATATGTACAAGTAATCCAATTTATATTTTATAAATTTGTAGTAGCTCCAAAATGTTATTTATAAATGAATGATATTAGATAGGTAATTATTATTAGATAGGTAAATATATCCAAGATATATTTAAAAATACAAAACAGATTTGCAAATTGTAATTTAAAAAATTTGTTTAACATAAGTGATTAAGGAGAGATATGCAGGTTTTATATATTTAAAGCTATAGATCTGTTGTATAGTTTTATATGTTAGATTTTATCTTTTTCCTTTTCTTTCTTTAAAAATCTATATCTTTCTCATTTTTAATATAAAAGTGTAGAAAAAGAGAGAGAGAAAGAGAAGATACACGTACACAACAGAACTGATTTTACATTATCTGTAAATTTATATATTAAAGTTATACATAGCTTTTTTTATTTTTACTATTTAATAATATAATTATAATTACATATAATTATATTTAAAGGTTATACATGATATAATAAATTTCAATTAAAGTACAATTGTACAATTTTATTTTTTTCTAAAGATTATAATACTAGAATAATCAAATAGTTAATAGTTTATTATTTGAAAATTAGATATTAAAAATTTTTAAAGAAAAATTTGTTTTTGTTACTAAGTAATTAAGTTGTAAGTTATTTGTAATCAATTTTTTGTTTCAAAACCGATTATTGACAAACTAAAAAAAGTTTTTCTTATTATTATATATATTTATAATGAACAAATATCAATTGTTTTTCCCATATCTTTATGATTACAAATAATTTAATGCTATCCATAGTTTATGTTATCTTCAACACCAATTACAGTTTATGTGAGCAAATAATACATTTAGTAATATATCTAGTGGGATACATTTCAGAATATGAACGATTATTACCGCCTCAGATATGACATTAAGTGGCACCAGTAATCAGAAATTACAATGATTGGTGCAACCTGTAGTTTGGAAGATGCGTGTCAGCGGGCTCAGGTGTGTGACAAAGTTTTTGAATTGCAATCCATCGATATATAGCGATGAGATTATTATTCTACATTGTTTACATTTACTAAATGATTAATCATCGCCTCATTTATACAGGATATGATTAATCAAGTATCCAGATGTTGGAAGAATGCACTAGGTCCGGATTCTTTGGCCTTAATATCGAATAAATCGTTGCCCTCTCAAAAAAAAGAACAGAATCACTCCAGGCATAGTATCCAATCCAAACTCACCAGACTCTATTTTGAAGAACTCTCCAAAGTTCCTCATGCAACCCCAGATTCAGTTTTGGTATGTCCACTTTTTACACAAACATCTTTTTTATTAAATGTTTAATTCTTTTTATAAAAAACTATAAACGCTCTAAAAACTATATTACACTCGTATTTTTGTATGCAAACACAATATACAATACATAAAATGCGTTGTATTTTAAATGTTATATAGAACAATCTTGAGAATGAGTGCGATCTTTTGGGACGGTTAGTGCAACGAGAAGGTTTACATACATTAATTGTTAATCTCTATGCTGGTAATAAAGGATACTCATTAGCTGTAAGAAATAGGTGAGCATACATTTTCTAATGTTAATTATCTTTCTAAAACATCTGAAATGCCAAACAGTTATGATATAGTTTGATGTTCTTTCTTAGTTAGTGGTGATATTATTACAATATGTAAATTATGAAAAAAAGCTTTACAATTTGTTTACGACTAACTACATTATATACTATAAATATATTTAAATTTATGGCTTTCTGACTGCTTTTTTAATGTTGCTGTATGATTGCTATTTCTATGCCACAAAATTATTTTAATGTATTGTTAGTGTCAATCATAATATGTTGAGAATTTTAATTTGGCCAAGTTTAAGACATCTAATATTTATATCAGAGAAATGCACTTCACATGTAACTGTTTTTTTAAAATATAAATTAATTCCTTAGATTTTTATATAGAATTGACCATTAATATTGAGATTTTTTTTCTTGATATAGTGATAAGGGGAATCAGTATGATAAAAATTCATTATTAGCTGAGACTCAACTCATGGGTTACGAACAGGGTGAACTACTTTCATGCATAGATAATGGCCAACTGCCGGCTATGTTAGCCGAACAATTAGAATCCAATTATTCACATTTATTTTATGATGGTTGCATAATCGCTGAAGTCCGAGATTATCGAAAATCATATTCTCACAACAGAGCCGAAGTTCATCATGTACTTCTTAAACCTACGACACAGGTAAGATTTGGCCATTGAATATATGGTTTAAGTTAAATTTCGAAAATTCCTGTTTATATATATTCAGAGCGTACTTTCGGATGTGTCGACGCTTACGAATGACGGAGATTGGAGCCATGAGGAGCGGTTAATGTTGGAATCACATCTAGTGGCAGCTACCCAAGGACCTTTATGCTTAGATCCGAATCCTATTCCCACTTTAGCTAGTACAAGAATTAAACAGTCTAAATTATTGCTTACCGATCATCAACTCATGCGACAAGCCAAAAAGTTTTCTCAGGTAATACTTTAGAGTTTGAAACTTATTTATAGTTTAATATAAATTAATATTTTTAAGAAATTGGCGTAATTAAAGATCTAGAAATATGTTAGAAAAAATAATTATTGGATATTAAATAACATGGAATAATATTTCAATTATATGAGGAAATTATCGTTTATACACTGCTTGCTATGCGCCATATCTAATTTGCATGAAGCAGCAGTAAACATTGTATTGCTTGATATTAGGTCACAGTTAATCGAAAAAGAAAATTGGAACAATTGGCTCAGCCAGAAGGACAAACAATACAGGACTTAATGCAAAAATTCCGTGCAAAAAGAAGAGGATTAGCGACAAACACTGCCTGCCCACCGCCTTTTCTCACAAGTCCTCCTTTGCTTCCACCATCTTCAGCAATCGAAGTTTTAAGGTTCTTATGATAAAGCATGTCTTTTCTTTTTGTATTATTTGTTGTAGTTTATATTTTTTCTTTCTTTCTTTTTTTACATTTTTACTGTGAAATATCTGCAAAATTAATTAGCAATGAAATTTGATTAGATATGCAAAAGCATACGAACGGCCACAAGAAACGATAGACTGTACGCCACAAGTTATAGAAGAGTATATATTAGAGCCTGCCGAAAGT